TACCCACAGTAGTTGGATGTTATGTGGCTTTCAAAATTGCTATTTCTTACAGACATATGCCAACATTTAAATAAGTTAAACATGAAGCTTCAAGGCATAAATAAAACAATTATCGTCATGGTAATTTGTCGCGCTTTTGAGACTAAACTGCAAGTTTTCAGGAACGATATTATCACAAGAAACTACAAGTATTTTCCAAACTTGAAAAAATATATCAACGATTTGGAAATACATGAGAAACCAGACGAAGACCAAGTTACTGTAGAATTTATTTCTGTGATTGATTCCTCAATCAGGGAATTTTCAGCGAGATTTTCTCAGTTCAAAGAATTATCGGAAATACTCAAGCTTATTATGTACCCTGATGTGACGTCATTGGATAAACTGAATTTGTCCCAATTGAATTGGTTGGAAATTGAAGAATTTGAAATGCAGCTGATTGATTTCCAGTCTAGTTCAATATCGATTCAAAAATTTATTGAAACAAGGAAATAGTTAGAATTAATTGAAACAGAAAGATTGACAAATAATATAAGTGAAAATGCTAATAACAAAATTCTGGAAATATGGAATGCATTACCAGACACATTTAATTGTTTGAGGAAGCTGGCTCATGCTATTTTAACAATATTTTCATCAACCTATGCCTGCGAGTCATTATTTTCAGAGATAAATAACATTAAAGACTCGGTTAGAAACCGTTTGACAGATGACTCCAGTTCAACATGCATTCTGCTAAAAAAACATCTTACAACCCTAACATATGTTATTTGTCATCTAATCTGCAACAACAGAAGTTACACTAATTTTACTTTAATTTAAATTACGCGTATAATTGAAACATTGCAAAATGTTCATATTTTTTTGTAGTAAATAAAGAGTTTTGAGTTGATAGTATTTATTACTATTATATTCCCAATAATCACAAAGTCAAAATTTTTTATGGCACGTCTATGACCACATTAAACATTTCTTTAGAAAAATGGCACGTTGATCCGTAAAGGTTCGCCATCCCTGGTCTAGAACAATCAAGAGGTGAGCATTCATTAAACATTGGGCATAATTAATGACGTCAAATATGTCGTTAACATAAATATTAAACAGTAAAGGGCCCAGATGGCTACTCTGGGGAACATCAGAAGGAACCGACTCAGAATTAGAAAAAAAAACCATTAACCGAAACAATCTGGCATTCAGATAGGAAGCAAGCCATTGTAAAAGTTTCCCCTGAACACCAAACTTCATTAGTTTAAATAGAAATAAGTTGTGATCCACCCGGTCGAAAGCTTTACTAAAATCCGTATAAACTGAATCAACTTGACAAGAATCATCCAGAGAAGATAAGATATAGTTACTCTCAAAGAGGGCGACCATCAAAAAACCATATTGTCTACAATTGATTTTAGACTAGCTTGGTTGATGCTGTAGCACATGCGTTTGACGAGAAGGAGGATGTTCAATTATTGTGTTGTGACTTGTCAAAGGCCTTTGATTGCGTCCAACATGAAGTTCTGTTGGATAAACTGGAACATTATGGTATAAGAGGTCTACCAAATCAAATGATTCGTAGTTATCTTAACAATACAGTGCAGTGTGTAGAGTGGAAAGGTCGAACTTCGGATGTTACTAATAATATTAACATCTCAGCTGATAACATTTATATATATGCCGACGATACATCTTTTGTGCTAACGTCGAAAGATAGAGTTGAATTTGAAAACAAGTCAGAAGTTGTTATAGCCGAAGCTGCGGAATGGTTTGGGGCCAACAATTTGAAACTTAATGTGGAAAAGACGCAAAAGCTATTATTAACAACTAAAATTGCTGGACGGGAGTAAGAACTTATTAAATTCCTGGCGATATATATGTTACGTCAAACCTAAGCTGGAAGTCTCATCTTGAATATCTTCAAAGATGCCTGGCTGTAGCAATATTTACGGTCAGGCGCATATGGGCTATAGCTGGTTATGAGGCTGCTAGAGCAACCTACTTTGCCAACTTTCATAGTAGGGCGTCGTACGGAATACTGATTTGGGGGAATTCTCCGGCGGCCAAAGATATTTTCATTCAACAAAAGAAAGCATTACGGGTCTTAGCAGGTGAAAAGAGTACTGCTAGTTGCAAACCACTTTTTCAACAACATAGGATACTTACCTTATCCTCTATCTTTATCCTAAGGAGTCTTCTTTACGTACATTCCTCTAAAACCTCATTTCCAAAAAGTCTATCTACGAAACCCGTTATAAATCACATTATCAGATCCCTACCATCGCATTAATATCTCACAAACCAGCACTAATCACCTAGTCGTGAAATTATATAATAAATGTCCTTTGCCTATAAAAAATATGACGTGGAGGAGTTTCTTCAACTATCACCTTCGGAGATGGAGTCTTATGTTTAGTTTTGTAAACTATATAATTTTTTTTTCTCTTTATATACATTTCTTTGTTTTGTATATATTTATAGTTTTTCTCTTGACGGTGCTTTATCTGTTTTATATTTTCTTTTATTACATGTAAAACATTTGTAAGCTGCATAAATGTTATTATTATTATAGACTTAAGGGCAAAGAATAGACGTGCATGAACTACTTTCCCAAATGCTGGCAAAATAGATATGGGGCAGTAATCAGATATAACATCACGGTCCCCAGATGTAAAAATAGGAAGAACAAAAGCCTGCTTCCACAATGACGGAAAGACACCCATTATTAATGAAGCATTAAATAAAATAGTTGATGGAATACCATCAGTACCAATACTGTCTGTAACCCTGATGCCCATCAGGGCCTCCTCAATCACAATTCTGTCAACTGCATCAGATTCAAAGGAAGGGCATCCGTTTCCACACAATCTACATTCTGCTGGATTGGAGCAGGATCAACAAAAACCGAAGAAAAGAAATCAGCGAGCAATGAGTATACTCCGACACCGTCACCGACAACAATTCCATTCCACGACATCGTGAAGGAATTACATCCGCACGTTTCTTAGACATAGTAAAAGCCCAAAACACCTTTGGGTCAGATTGGATATTGCTTTCAGCTGTTCTGACAATAATCTGAATCTCTTCTGAATTACATGGAGTATATGTAATTATGATGGATTATATACTTTGCACGACTCATTAGAATTGAAAAAGTGAGGTAGTCCAGTCGGTTGCCAAAAGTTTCCATTTACAGCGCGCCTTTACTCTCGAATTACTTTTATGGTATTATGTGAAAACCAAGTAGGAAAACACTTTGTGGCGTATAGCAGTATTAACACAGTTATAAAAAATTTGAACAGGGTCGTTGATATCACGACCAGCGAGTTCTGATTCCCAGTCAATTTCGTTAAAGTACTCATTTAATTCAGGAAACTGTGCTTTTCTCGTCTGCTCTGATCACTTCTGTTTTTTTTTGTTCAAGTTTCTATTGTTGTTAACACCAAAGTTACAAGCTCTAAAAGATAACGCAGCTTGTTCGGCAGCGCCATCAGAAATTAAAGCAAGTTATGGATGTCGATGAAATTTAATTAAACTGTGACAAGTAAATCAAACAAAATGTTAATAACGGGTATTTCCTCCCCTCGCTTGAATGGTATCACTCATCCTTCGAGGCATACTTCGAATCCACTCTTTTAGCGCTGTTCAGAAATCATCTAGCGTTTCTGTAGCTGCACCACGGGCTCTAACTCGTCTCCCTAGCATATCCCACATGTGTTCTATGGGGTTTAAATCGGCTACGTGCAGGCCGTTCCATATTGTTAATATCCAAATCTTCCAGGTATTGGAACACTATGCGGGCTGTATGGGAGCGTGCATGAACAAGAAGTTGTTACCTATAAATGGACATGGAAATGCCGTTGATAAAATAAAGCTCCGTACGTGCTTCGAAGCAGATTCCTTCCTAAATCATTACAGATCCTCCCTGGTTTTGACGCTCTTATATAACGCTCTCCTGCTCTTCTCTCCTCAACTTTCTCTTGACCATCTGAAGAGTACAAGCCGAATCTCGACTCGTCTGAGAACAGTACGTTTCGCCACTCTGCATTGGTCCACTGAACATGATATCTTGCAAATTGTAATCGAGCAACACGATGGTCCAGTTGCTGGTCTCTGTGATTTCAACCCCGCTTCTTCAAATCTTCTTTTTTACTTAACTGTTGTGGTATGTCGATTTCGTAACATGGTAGTTACAATATATTGTAATAATATCACTTATGATAGCATGAAGAGGTGGCGTTAATATAAAAAAATAAAAAGTCATGGAAACAAAAAAAAAAAGATAGTAGTAAATAAACATAAAAAGTGTTAAGTAGGATTTTTGAATTAACGAATTTCTGTTTGAACCTGCTCCCAAAAAAATTCTGTTATATATTTAAAAATTGTGTTTTGATATAAAATACACGTTCATCACAATATCGATTATCACGGGGTTGTGTGGTGCTTGACCCAGGTCGTCTGATGAGCTAATTGAGGCCAGTCTGCTGAAATTTTTGAATGGCGCGACAAACCGTACTCTGTATCGCGCCAAAAACACGAGCAGCATAACGAGTACTGCGTCCATCTTCCACCAAAGCCACTGCCTGGGCAACTTCTGCAAGACTTGAAAGACATTTTTCTTGTCTATCAACAGTCAGCGACGTTAACGACACTAAACGTCACTGAAATATTTTCGTCAATTTCCATGGCTTCCTTTAGAGCTTGTTAGAGTTGTTTGAACTTTGGTGTTAACAACAATAGAAACTTGAACAAAAAACAGAAATGATCAGAATAGACGAAACTACAGGCTCCTTATGTTTAAAATTAATTTTGTCGGTGCATCTCACACTAAGCTTCAAAGTGTAGGAAGAAAACACGCATTACCGTTATTCACCATTGCTGAAATTGACGAGCGTCAAATACGTTTAAAAGTTACAGCAGTTTTAAATCTGGTCATCATTTTAGATGATGCGTTTTTTATGCCTGTGTACTTAATATTTCTTTTTAAATATTAATATAATATTTTATTTTAGGAATCGTTGAAGAAAGTGTAACCGGCGTCCATCGTTTATATCAACTATCAAAATCTGGGAAATTAACCGTCCCTGCAATGAACGTTAACGATTCAGTAACAAAAACTAAATTCGATAATTTATACAGTTGTCGCGAATCGATAATTGACAGGTAATTTTTTATTTCTTCTAAAATATATGCGCAAAAATCGAATTATATTTAAGTTTAAAACGTTCTACTGACATTATGTTTGGGGGAAAACAAGTAGTCGTTTGTGGGTATGGAGAAGTTGGAAAAGGTTGTTCTCAAGCTTTAAGAGGATTAGGTTGTATTGTTTATATTACAGAAATCGATCCAATTTGTGCTCTTCAAGCCAGGTTAGCATTAATAAAAAATTAAATTTTATGTGACTTATTTTGAATTATTTTTTTAATTTTAGTATGGATGGATATAGAGTAGTGCGAATAAACGAAGTAATCCGCAACGTCGACATCGTAATTACAGCAACCGGAAATAAAAATGTAATAACACGCGAGCATATGGATAAAATGAAATCGGGGTGTATCGTTTGCAATATGGGGCACTCAAACACAGAAATAGATGTTGTGAGTATCCAATTTTTATAATTAAATAAATTTAACTCTTTTTTTCTTAATAGAATAGTCTTCGAACTCCAGATTTAACATGGGAAAGGGTTCGTTCGCAAGTTGATCACGTAATTTGGCCCGATGGGAAACGGATAATTTTATTAGCGGAAGGTCGGTTGGTCAATTTAAGTTATTCAACATTGCCTTCGTTTGTTGTTTCGATTACATCGGCCACACAAGCTTTAGCATTGATCGAATTGTTCAATGCGCCACCAAATCGTTATAAATCCGACGTTTACTTACTACCGAAAAAAATGGATGAATATGTTGCAACGTTACATTTACCAACGTTCGACGCTCATTTAACGGAGTTATCCGATGAGCAAGCTAAATATATGGGACTTAATAAAGCAGGGCCTTTTAAACCAAATTATTACAGGTAAAAAATTCATGTAGTTACTTAACTCAATTAATTCTAAATTAATTTGCAGATATTAGTGAAAATGTTAAGCATAGCGTTAAAAATTTAGATGGTGAAGGCAGGATGGTGTGAAAAAAAAAACATTTAAGGTTGTAGAAAGGAAATAATACACTGTATTAATTTTTATTTATTAATTTAATTTTTGACTTAATGTATATCAAAAGATCGCTTTAAATTCCTAATTAAAAAAAAACTTGCCATTATTGAAAGGTACCTGCATCTCTGGAGGAGAATTTAGTCAATTGAGTCTGGATTAGATTATTTACTTTTTTTTTTTGTTTTGTTTTTGCGTTCTTTTATTTTAATTTGTTTTCTCAATATTATTTTTGTGAGTTTTACAGCAAAACGAAATCACCAATAGTAATTCGATAGTTTTACTTTTAGCAATTAGTTGAAACATTTAGTCAATTAGCGTGCAAACAAAATGAATGAACGTATTGTGATTAAAGCCGGCAATTAAAACTGAAAACTACAAAAAAAATAAATGAATGGTTGGTAGTCAAGAATTTGGAAACGGGTGTTGATACTGCTTAGAAAATAAAAAATAACCTCATTTTTGTTAAGTGTTCAGTATTTTATTAAGTATTAAATATTATTATTATGTATTCTTTTTGTTCAAATTTTTTTCTTGTAATGTTTTAAATTGAATTGAGTATTGTAATGATGTTACAATAAACATGAAAAAATTGTATAAGAAATGTTTGTTACAATCAATCCCTTACATGTAAAAATAGTACCCAATTTTTTTGCCATTTTAATTTTTTTGTCTCACGACATCAACCAAGGCAAGGAACATTTTCGATTTGTTCTTGAGGTAGATGAAGATGATCTTTAACATATAATGTTACTTATTTTTAAACTTTTTTCATTTTCATTGTAATTTAGATGAAATTGATGGATTTAGATTAATAATCTGAATAACGTAAGATGGTTATGACGAAAAATGTATGTATGATGGAGTTGGATTCCAACAATAATTTAAAAGGAATTATTTAAAAGTATTAAAGACACTAGACGTTTTACGAGCTTCTACACAGCAAAAATGGTATGTTTTGAGTGTTGAATTAGTCTTGAAACTTGACTTATATACAATACCGTATAAATTATACGGTATTGTTAATAATACATTTTTATTTCAAAGTGCAGCAATATAAATTATGGTCTGTAATTGCGATCTGTGATCTCCTCAACGTCGGTAGCTGATTCCCACTTCGCTAAATATCATATGGTTTCATAAATACAATCTTTGCTATTAAACCATCTGGGAGAGTCTTGGAGTTAATGGATATAATACACTTCGCTTTAAGTATAGCTGAGGTCGCTTGTGGCTGAGGCTTTATAATTAATATCATTTCAATCTAAATGTAGCCAAGGTCTCTTGCGGTCGAGGCCTGCAATGGGTTAACATTGGTAGAAACAATCGGCGTCGGGCACAAGTTAAAAGATCATCCAGACCAAGAATCATAATCAAATTATTGGTTTCATTAAAGACTATGTTTTCGATGCTGACGATCAGGTACGTCGTCAAGCCGATACTGCATATTATTCTATCAAGGCAATCTATTGTGATATTAAAAATCCCAATGCTGCAATCCAAAACACCAACCTTAATATTACCGCTGCCTCTCCTAAATTGAACAAAATCACCCTTCCCTTTTTTTCCGCAGATTATAAAGCATGGTTCAGGTTTTTACGACTTATTCAGAACTGTGGTGAGAAAATTTCATGATAAATCGCCAGAACAAAGATTTGAGTAGGTCAATAAGCATAATCTTTGCAAAAATTGTCTGTGAGACCAACATTGAACATGCAAATGCGATTCAAAAAACACTTGTTGAACTTGCAAAAAGCGCCATCATACATTATTGCATTTAGATCGTCCAGAGGTTTATCAAGACCAGTCATCCAAAAGTAATTCTATTCATTCAAATAACACCGTTGGCTCTGTTGTGAATACCATGCTTACCGTAGTTCTACCTGTAGCTGGATTGGACATACAAGACCGGTTTGGTAGATATCATCGTATGCCTGCCCTTATTGATTCTGGTAGCAGATCAATTTTATTACTGAAAATGTACAAAAAGCATTACAACTTACAAAAGGCATCAGTTATGATTGAAGGGTTGAACAATATGCAGTCAAACTGCAATACCAAGTTCGTTAAATGTGTTATTAAGCCCAAATATATCAACAAATATATATTCTTATCAACCAAGAACGGCGATTGACATCTCTAAATACTCTCAATTTCGAAATTTAAAAATTCCACGAAGCCAAACTTCTCCATACTCTATAGATCTTCCACAAGTCCACAAGGATAGTCCCTGCAAATGTCCATTCCATAAGAGGGTTTTGTCTAGGATTACTCCTAGACATTTGACATCCTTTGAGAAAGGATTTCTTCACCTTGGATAGTTCGGCGGATTAGTCCATCCAACTTTCATCTCCTGGTGAAGAGCACAACGATTATCTTTTGCGGGTTTATCGAGAGATTCTTTCCCTTACACCAAGCGCAAATGGTATCTAGGATCACCTGGAAAACATTGGATGTCCTCGACAAATAGGTTCCTTTGACCATAAAGGCCTGCAATGGGTTGACATGGTATTAATTGTAGAGCCTCGCCCGCCAGCGACCTTGGCTTAATCAGACAAAAGGAGACATTTTCCATCGCAAGTTTAGCCGCGGTTGTTTCCGGCTAAGGCGTCAGTTTAAATTTAGCGGAGGTCGCTTGCGGCCGAGGCCTCCAATGGGTTGACATGGTATTAGTTGTAGAACTTCGGCCGCCAGCGACCGCGGCTTAATTAGACAAAATCAGACATTTTTCCATCGCAAGTTTAGCCGAGGTTGCTAGCGGCTGAGGCTCTACAATTAATATCACTTTGGTTTAAGTATAGCCGAGGTCGCTTGCGGCCTAGGCATTCAATTTATTGACCAGTTTTCGGTTGACATGGTATTAATTGAAGAACCTCACCGCATGCGATCTCGACTCCATCAGACAAAATCAGACATTCTTCTTCGCAAGTATAGCCGAGATCGCTTGCGTCCAAGGCGTTGCAATGGGTTGACCAGCTTTTAGTGGACATGATGTTAAGTATAGAGCTGCAAGCAACCTCGACTTTAACCTAAAATACAGGGTGGTTCATTTTTTAATCGAGAAACTTTACTAAGACGTAGTACTTGCCAAAATAACACATGTTTTTTATATAAACATAGGGTCGCAACTCTTTTGTTTTCAAGCTATAAGCTGTCAAAGTTGACCCAAAAATTTACATTTTATCTTTTATTTCAGTTGTATATATTACTGATTAATACCTTATTTTTAACCATACCTTAAACTTCCCTAGCGTCCCCTAACCTTTTTTATAACAACTTTTTAACGCCAAGGAGCATTAACATAAAAAAATGTGGGTTGTAAAGCTTATTCATTATTGGTACTTTTTTGTCTCTTTAGTTTTTTCCTTAAAGATAATTGTTTTAGCGTAAAAAATAAAATATGCTACATTGTACTGTAAAGCGCTGCTATTATTAAATATTATTAAATTTTTCTTGATAGCTGGCTGTGGACGTTGTGCACTTACTAGGATCTAGTACTATTTAAATAACACCAATCAATTGTGATTTTCATAAGAAAAAGCATAAATAAGATAAATGTTTGTCTGAACAAATTACGTTGTTAAGTACGAAGGCTTTCACGGCCGGTGTTAATTGAACGAAAATTAAAACTAAAACTAGAACTAACACTAGAAACTTTCAGGATTTGCCGTGCGTCTTTTAAGAAAAAGTTTGACGTTTCGGATGCCATGTTGCAACCTTCTTCAGAAACTGGAAAAAAAAGTGATCCAAGAACTCTTGAAGCCGTTTTTGAAATTCTCCCTTCCAGCTGAAATACATCGATGGTAAACAGTACTCCACTAGATCTGGCACGTATTGTGGCAATCCCTCCGGAATGAGTTTTTGGCGGAGACCATCGAAACTCACCAAAATTTCACAAAGTGTGTAGAATCGCTGACATACCATTCCCTACTCCCTGTGAAAGGAGATAGAATCTTTGCAAGATATTTCACCAACTGGTATATTGGGGTGTTGATGGCACTGACGATAGGGCGGAGGGGGACGTCTGATTTATGAATCTTCGGTAGTCCATAAATTCTTGGTGGTGCCGACGTCTGCACAAACAAACCTTTTTGCTGTTCTGCTGGAATTCCTGTGGATTTTATCAGGTCGTTCATTTTCCTTACGATTTTGTCTGTGGGGTCCTTCTTGATCTTCCTGTAGGTGGCTGGTTCCAGTAGGTTCATCATTTTGTCGTCATATTCTTTCTTGTCCACAACCACGGTGGCATTCCCCTTGTCTGCTGGTAACACGACGATTTCTGACGTTTCTTTAATAAATCGGAGTGCCTTCTTTTCACCAACCGTCAAGGTGGATTTCGGTGGTTGTGCTGACTTCAGTACTCTCGCACTGAACCAGTTTCTGAAGAAGGTTGCAACATAGCATCCGAAACGATTCAGATTTCATCAAATTTTCATTCAAATTTTACGGATTAGTTACAGCCGAAATACAAAACAAAATGTAAATTTTTGGCCCTATGTTTATATAAAAAGTTGTGTTATTTTAGCAAGTACTACGTCCTAGTAAAGTTTCCCGATTAAAAACTGAACCACTCTGTAGATATTGTATTAGATATATTTTGATGAACTCTAACTATATTAAAACTACATATAAAAGAGAAGTCAAATATTTTTAATAATCACTCATATTATATCAGGACTTTCTTTATTCGAAACTACAAACGTATTGCATTCCGCAATCTCCAAATAACTCACAAAAAATGTAAATTACTATCTTCTAGTAGGTTTGTGACAACTATATTTTCGAATGAGTTTGTCCAAGACGTCGACTTCACTCTTTATTTGGTTATATTCCAAGATAATATTTGGTTTATAATTTATTTCGAAATTACTTATTTCATGTGCATGGTGTATAGATGATGCATAAATGACCCGACATATAGAAGTACCGATAAGTGACCTAATTGCATATTGCATGAGAATAATAATACTACAGAATATATAAAAGAACTTTGATTTCGTATGTTATGTAAAAATTATTGTTTTCAGGTCATTACTGACCCAGTTTTGCGCGATCGTTACTATATTTCACCATTATGGTCTTTCAAATGTGACATGGGCTTAATCAAATAAAATCAGACATTCATAAAAAGTTCTTTAATGAAACCCTCATCCAACTCGTACATGTAAAAAATTTAATCTATCTATTTGTAAAACATAGTGCGTTATTAGATCTTATTAAATCACAAAGTAATAATTTTTAATCTTTGTTTATTAATTTACTTACAATAATATAGATTGATTTTTGCAGATGATATATTGACAGCAAAACCTAGAAAGAATCACAGAATTGTTACAAACAACAATGATGGAACATGAAGCGAAATTGGATTAGGTGGAGTAAATGTAAACGCTCAATAAATCATTTTACTAAATAAATATATAAAAATAATTATGTATAATCGCATTATGCATAAGAAAATATTAATATAAGTACGAAGGCTTTCACGACCGGTGTTAATTGAACTAAAATTAGAACTAACACTAGAAACTTTCGGGTTTTGCCGTGCGTCTTTTAAGACAAGGTTTGACGTTTCGGATGCCATGTTGCAACCTTCTTCAGAAACTGGTTCGAAGTGACGAAATCGAAAATCGGGTACATTCATCGATGAACCTACTGGACCCAGCCACCTACAGGAAGATCAAAAAGGACCCCACAGACAGAATCGTAAGGAAAATGAGGGACCTGATAAAATCCACAGGAATTCCAGCAGAACAGTAGAAAGGATTGTTTGTGCAGGCGCCGGTACCACCAAGAATTTAAGGACTACCGAAGATTCATAAACTAGACGACCCCTCCGCCCTATCGTCAGTGCCATCAACTCCCCAACATACCAGTTGGCCAAATATCTCGCAAAGATCCTCCTTTTACAGGGAACACGGAATCATATGTCAGGGATTCTATATATTTTGTGGAATCGGTAAAAGGTATAAAGCTAGATGTTGAGGATATTTTAGTAAGTTTCGATGTTGAGTCTCTTTTTACCAGGGTACCAGTTAAGGATGCTGTGGATGGCCTCCGCCAGAAGCTCATTCCCGAGGGATTACCAGAATACGTACCAGATCTAGTGTAGTACTGTTTATCGTCGACGTATTTCAGTTGAAAAGCAGAATTTTACGAACAGTTCGAAGGGCCAGCCATGGGATCTCCAGTATCGCCAGTTATAGCTAATTTCTACATGGAATTATCCGAAGAAGACGTTTTGAAGAAGAGCCAGTGGAAGCCAAAACTATAGCCCCGGTATGTGGATGACACGTTTGTAATATGGCAACATGTTAAAAAACGGCTCCCAGAGTTCTTGGATCACTTGAACGCTCAACATCTGATGATTAAGTTTACCATGGAAACAGAAACTGCCAAAAAACTACCTTTCCTAGATGTGTTGGTCACCAGGACGACAAATGAAGATATGAAACTTGGTGTATGTTGGAAGAAGACCCATACCAACAGGTATCTGCAGGCATCATCACATCATCATCCCCAACAAAAGAGGTCCGTGATCCGTACTTTATTTCAATGAGCAGCGAGAATATGTGAAGGAGATAACTTGAAGAAGGAGCAACACTTTCTACGAGGCGTGCTACAGAAGAACGGATACACTTCGAGGGACATCAACCGGGCCATCAAGCAGCGAAAGCAGAAAGAGGACGCGGTAAGTACAAAACCACTTGGTTTTTTCTGTCTTCCCTATGTTTCAGGTGTGACGGAGCGAATTGCCAGGCACCTCAAGAAAAACGACATCGTGGTGCGATACGGGACGGTCAGCAAGATTCTGAACACACTCCCGATATCCCAGGACAAGCTAACTCCATTAAAAGCACCGGGAGTTTACCGACTATCGTGTAGTTGTGGGAAAGTTTACGTTGGCCAAACTGGACACAATCAAAGAGCATGAAAGGGATGTAAGGTTGAAGATGATCCAGCAGTCAGCGGTTGCGGAACATCGCCATGCAGAGGGACACCGAATAGACTTCGAGCAAACAAAGGTACTGGCTAGGGACAACGTATATTACCAAAGACTGACAAGAGAACATAGAGATCCATCGACAGAGAAATAACGTCAACAGAGAAGATGGCTGGGAGCTTAGCAGAACATGGAAGATGGTGGTGAACACGAAGACCTCCTCCCGCATCACACTGGACGCGACGCAATTACTTAATAATTAGCTTGTAATTAGCGTTAATTAATTATTAATCAGTTTTCCGACTTACACATTGTACCTAGGGCTTGCAATACCGGACCAAAATCTCAATACCGGTATTCGGTATTCAAAATTTTTAAAACCGGGATACCGGTATTAATATCGGTACTACTATAAAAAAGTTTACTCACTAAATTACAATCACTAGATATATCTAATTGTAAGATCTTTTCCCCCTCTGCAACGTCACCTCTACTAACAACAGGTTAATTCCTACTATATTTTTAGATTGGCAACGAAGCATAAGATACAGAATCTGAGAAGATAATCAAAAAATGGAAAGATATTAGGAATCTGTACAAAGTACCAATAAACTTAAGGTCTGGATACCATTATTGTTGTGTTGTCTTTCACTTGGTCCAAACGTTCAACTTCACTGCCGCGTCAAAAAATGAAATTACACTTTATCATCTGAAGCTCAATGGAATTCTTTCGAATTCCTGCTATGAACTTTTCTGGAAAGGTGCAAATTCAAGAAAGAAACTTTAACATAATGGCTCTTGGTAGTTTGTCAGACTTATCATACTACTGTTATACTTGGTGGGACACTACACGAATCAAACTGACCTGAAACACCATTATGGAGTAAATACTCCAAAAATAGGTGTATGCAGAGAGTATTTTATTGTTGGCTAGGTATGACAAATTTATTGAACACGAACATTAAGTTGTCATCATCAAAGGTTGAGTCTTTGTTATCTTCAGTATTCTGTCAGAGTGCAAAATGATATTTCTTGTAGATGGTATTCACACTGATCAAAAAATGTTACTTGAAAAGATGAGGTTAGTACGGACATAAGATAGATAACAAATTTCTGTTTGGTCAACATCATTTTTCAGCACAGCTTTAAACAAACACGGCCGATTTCGATCGGTCGCCTCCGGCTATCATTTTTTAATGAAACGTCAAAAAATGGCACTTGAAAATGTAAACTTAGAACGGACAGAAGATAGATAACAAACAAGAATCCTCTACGTCATTTTCCAGCACAACTTCAAACTAGCACGGCCATTTTCGAAGACATCGGCCGCTCCCGGCCATCGAGGGCACTAAATAAAAGTAATACCGAAATACCGGTATTTTGCCATCAATAATACCGGACAAAAATTGTCCGGGATCCCGGTATTGCAAGCTCTAATTGTACGCGATTTTCCATTTCGTCACTTCGAACCAGTTACTGAAGAAGGTTGCAACATGGCATCCGAAACGTCAAACCTTGTCTTAAAAGACGCACGGCAAAACCCGAAAGTTTCTAGTGTTAGTTGTAGTTTTAGTTCAAAAAATATTAATAGTTTTTGTGCTTTGTTTTTACCTTTAATCATTTCAATAATATACATTTTTGTGAGAAAATTTGTTAAATTCACCCCAATCAATGACTTCTATGAAAATATTTCCTTAAAACAAATCGAACTCGAATGAAAGAAATCATTATAACACCTTGATTAAACAAAAATTAAAAAGTTAAAAAATGGCTTTTTTTTATTGTCACAACCACATTATAAAGGTAAAGTATAAAAATGTTTGTATATATAAATTCTTTTTTCTACAAGAAAGCAATGATAACAAAAATTAATAACAATTTATTATAAAAAAATAGAATTAAAGGACATGTTTTTGAGATGTAATATGAAGTGGAATATAACTTGTTAAAGAATCTAAAACTTTGGGCCAAATCTCATCAGATGTTCTTCCTTCAAATTCTTTTAAGACACCTTTTTTTTTGTAAAAATCTGTGACGGGGCTGGTTAAATTTTCGTATTGTTTTAATCGTTCGAGAACAACTTCAGGTTTATCGTCTTCTCTTTGTATTAAATCTTCGCCTGTTACATCATCTTTTCCCTGTAAGAAAATAAAATAATAAAAAATGATAATTTTATGATTAATAAAATTTACCGGAATTTTAGGTGCGTTAAAATCAATGTTATAAACTCTTCCACTTGGTAAATGAATCCACCTTCCTTTAACTCTTTCAACAATCACGTCAAAAGGTACATTTAAATTAATAACGATATCTAATTGTTGTTTATCCCATAAATCTTTGGCTTGAGATAAAGTCCTTGGAAAACCGTCTAAAAGCCATGGTTTATCTTTGGTTTTATTGATTTCGTTGATTATAAACTTAATCATTAAATTATCAGGTACTAATTTTCCTTGTTTAATATATTTTTGAGCTTCTAATCCAATAGCTAAAATAATCTTTATTATTGTTTGTAAAAAAGATTGAGAATTAAGTTTTACCTGTTCCATTTTTAATATTTAATCGCAGCAAATCTCCACTTGAAATATGTGCCAGATTAAAATTTTTAACGATTCGTGACGAGATGGTTCCCTTCCCGGATGCTGGAGCACCCAAAATGACCGCCTTAAACATTTTTAGTGCCATATTTCTTTTTTTTTAAGTTGTGCCGAAAATAACAGAAATGAACGAAATGGTTAAAACGAAGTCGAACTTTGGAGTGTTCCGCTTTATCTAGTCCAATAAGAATAAATTGTTTAAGTTTATTTGCGATAATTTTTTGATATGTAATAAATTACGAGCAACGTCAGCGAATCGAAGCCAACAGGTGATCGAGCGCGAATATTTGAAACGATTAAAAAATTAATTTAAACAAAGTTTAAGAAATGAAAGCTGGTTCAGAGAATTTTTTTCCACGTTGTTTTTTAGTAACCGATCGTCTACGGCCGAAGGCGAACGTAATTTACGGAAAGGCCTCCGAGAGATAAGAATTTAACAACAGTTAACAACCACTTGAACATTCAGAATGTCGGTCGCAAATGGTTCTTTAAAATTAATATCCGGTTTAGTAAGTATATTAAAAAGATAAATTAAAAAAATTTACTTAAAAATAAAAACCTTGGACTTAAGACATTCTTTTTATACTCTCCCGCAGTATCGTGTGTTCAAAGTGAAGCCAATTTTTGGAAGTTCGCTAAATACCAATAATTTTCAAAGATTTTTGCACGTTTCAACAAATTTTAACGGCGTCGTCTCGTTTAAATTGGCTGATATCGGTGAAGGTATTAAAGATGTGGTTATCAAAGAATGGTTCGTTAAAGAAGGCGATAAAGTGTCGCAATTTGATAATATTTGTGAGGTGCAAAGCGATAAAGCCTCCGTCACGATAACAAGTCGGTACGATGGAATTGTTAAAAAACTACATCACAAGGTCGACTCGATTGCTTTGGTAGGAAAACCTTTACTTGATATCGAAGTAGAAGGAGGTAAGTTTAAGCGTCGGATTATATACAAAGATCATTGGACTTAATCTATTTTTAAGCGACCAATCCTAACATTTTGAAAGTTTTTGATACAAACCCGCGAAAATTAAACGATTCAAACATTCTCTTTTCAGAGGAGTCTTCTTCTTCATCATCCGAATCGGATGTTTCCGATGGCGAATCCAAAAAGGAACCTCAAAGCGGTATATAACCCTTATTAATTAATCAAATTTAATTAAAATAAAATTTTTTAGCCCAAAAAGATATTAATGAAATTAATGACATAAACATAGCTTTATGTATCCCATCAGTTCGAAGACTTGCCAAAGAACACAACGTAAATACATTAATAATTCTTTAAAATTAATAAAAAAAATTAAAAATTTCTAGATCAACCTCTCCGAAATAAGAGGAACCGGAAAAAAAGGAAGGATTTTAAAAGAAGATGTAATTCGTTACTTAGAATCAAAAAAAGTTCCCGCAATACCAAGGGAAACCCAACCAATTAGAGAATTCAAATCCGCGGAAATAAAAACGCGTTCTGACAGAATAGAGCCATTAAAAGGATTTCAGCGGGCCATGATCAAAACTATGAGTGAAGCCCTAAAAATTCCTCATTTTCTTCTTTGCGAGGAAATCACCGTGACTAAATTAACATCGTTAAGGAAATCCATAAAGCAAGAAGCTGAGAATCAAGGGATTAAATTAACGATGATGCCTTTCTTTATAAAAGCGGCCTCGAATGCTTTGAGTCGTAACGATGTTTTAAACGCAACGTTCGATTCAAACTCGGAACTCGTCACTTATCACGGTGCTCATAATATCGGGGTTGCAATGGATACTAAAATCGGGCTTGCCGTGCCGATTATTAAAAACGTTGATCAATTAACAATTTTAGAAATAGCCCAAGAACTTAATCGATTGATGGTTTCGGGAAAAGAAGGAAATTTTAGGACTCAAGATCTTCAAGGAGGAACATTTACTTTATCAAACATCGGAATTGTATTTATTTGTTTTAATTAATTATTTTTAATTAAAAAATTAATTCTTTTTAGATTGCTGGAACTTACGCGGCTCCCGTAATTTTACCGCCTCAAGTAGCCATTTTAGCAATTGGAGCTACTCAAACGCTGCCGAGATTCGATAAAGATAAAAATTTGGTTGCTGAAGATGTTTTGAATGTAAGCGGATCTGGTGATCATCGAATCGTGGATGGCGCGAGCATGGCGAGATTTTTGAAAGACTTTAAAAAGCAACTTGAGGAACCAAACTACCTCTTTTTAAACTTGTAAATTTAATTCAATTTTGATTCAATAGAAGTGTTTTAATTAAAGAAATGCAACAAAACCCAGATAATGATTTATTTTTTTAAAGAAATAAAACAAAATCTTTTTAATAATCAAAAAGAAAATATTATTTAAATAAATTATTCATTAGATTTAATTATAATACTTCAAATTCCTCCGTTTCGATATAATCGGAATCTAAATCATCCCCGTGATAATCGATTTGAGAGTTATGATAATGCGATGGAGTTGCTTGGGCGTCTTTACCATGTCCTTCCGCAAAAACAAACATAGGATAGTCAATTGTGGCGTTTGTTGTTTTTGGGGGAATAGATAACTAAAAAAAATGAATGTATTTCAATCAATATTTATAAAAAAAAATTTCTTACCATATTTAATTTTTCTTTAAGATCGATGAAATCATTTTTACTAGAACAATAAAACCCAATACAACACGATGGATCCATTTTGCTAAGATGCATTTTGCGAGGTGATCTACAATGGAAGCTTGTCAGTGGAAAATCGCTCGCCCACACGTCGACCATTTCTTGACAATAATGTGGATCTAAATGGATTAATTTATCATCTTGATAACCGATAAAATATAAAGAATGTTTCGGTCGACCCCCGATCACGCCTATACATTGTTCTAAACTAAAAAGTGCCGTTAAACACGGGGCGTAAATTTGATTAAATTTTTCCGCCCCCAAACGGACTGGAATGAGAAGTATCAACGATTTCCATTTGCCATCTTTTAATAAACACTCTTCTAAAATGTCTTCTGTATAAACTGCGCAATCTTGAGCTACGTAAACGGTAATTGAATCGAATTCGTAGTTATCTTGTGCGGCAGATTTTACAGCTTGCCTAAAATAAACAAAAATAAAAATACATAAAAAAAAATGAAATACAGTAAAACCTCCTTAGAGCGAACTCGAAGGGTCGAAAGAATAACTAGTTCGTGGTAAACGAATTCGTATAAACCGAGTAAACAATAAAAAACAAACGTGAAGTTTTTTTGTTATCGAATATTTTTTTATTAATGAATAAACTATTATTTATTATACAGGGTGAGTCAGAAAGAATGGGAAATCCGAATAATATGACGATTTAACCTAACATGTCTTATACAAATGTCGGTGGTTTTTAATACACAGGGTGTTGAAAGTTAAATTCTTATTTCGAAATTTCTTGATAATTTTGAAGGTTTTTGTACTATTAACATAAAATTTGATAGTTAGATGTTTTCGAGCATGAGAAATACGAAGCGGCATTAACTAAAGCGGCATTACTCTGGTGGGCTGGAGATGATCATTACCTTCATCACTATCTACAGATGACAAGGATGTAGTTGTTGGCTCTGGACAAATGGCCAAATCGTTATCGGCATTAACGAAATCTTCAAATGAAATTTCAAGTGGCTGTATCTCTTGTAAAACAGACCATTCTCTGGGTGCTGGTGGTAACAAATCTAAATTTTCTTCATTTGTTAAATCAGTGTTCGGTCATGCTTTATTAAAACAACGTTTAAATGTTTGTTGATTAACTGGATTCCAAGACAAACCTATTGCTTTAATAGCTTGTAGCAAATCCCATTTAACATTTCCATTGTTTTCAATAGCAAAAACAGCAAATTTCACTAGTTTTGCCTCGTAAAATGATTTAAAATTAGCTATTATGCCCTGGTCAAGTGGCTGCAATCGACTTGTAGTGTTGGACGGAAAGAAATACACCGTGATACACTGTTGGAAATAATTCACGAGCACACCCTATATAATCTGAACGCGTGAAGATAAATCCATAATATTTGCGGAGCACAAAGGTTTACTGTAGACGAGTTTATTCAGGGAGTTTCGAGTTGTTCCGTCGCGGCATTGTTGACTGAGCCGCCCTTCCAAGTGGAACATTCCGTCGCTATGGAGACCGAAGTGGATGGAAAATACCGGTCATTTTTAGTGTGGTGTGAGGGACCACATTGTTATCGTATTCTGTGCGCAATGGATGGGCGATCGCGTTACTTAAGCGAGGAATGTTTGTGGGTATGCACATTGAGGGTGTATCGTTCTATGAAATTGCGCATCGTCTCGAGCAGTCGTTATCGGCAGTGCAACGGGCATGGCGAGAATGGTCTGAGGTATGACATAGGTACCTTCAGCCGCGACCGGGACGACCCTGCGCGTCCCCAGCACACGAGGATCGCGCTCTTGTGCTCAGCGCTTTAGCGTCGTGTGTGTCCTCCTCAAGGCAACTTGGAGCTGCTTGGCCACCGGCAGGGGTAGGCGCACTGACTACGCGAACTGTACGGCGGCGTTTGGTAGATAGTGGATTGCGCGCGCGTCGTGCGATACAGCGGATTCCAGTAACACTCGAGCACCGCAACATACGTCACGAGTGGGTCGACACTAGGCATTAGTAGGTTGCCGAGTAGAGGGACATTTTGTTTTCCGACGAATCAAGATTCGAATTGAGCACCGGTGATGCGCGTATTTTAGTTCGTCGGAGCCGTGGTGATCGTCTACTCGAGCAGTGTGTGCAAGAATGCCCTATCCACCGACAACCAAGCATTATGGTATGGGGTACGATTACATATGGTGGACGTACACGTCTGCTGCGTGTATAGCAGACCATGACGGGTCAACGATACGTAGATGAAGTGCTGTGGTCCGTTGTGCTTCCCTACGTTCGGCGGCTTCCAGGTCTGCTATACATGCACGACAACGTACGACAGCACATCGGGCGTGTTGTACAGACCTTTGTGGAAGATCACCGTATACGAATGCTTCCATGGTTAGCTCGGTTTCCGAATCTGAATTCGATCAAACATGTTTGAGACATGACTGGTCGGAGAATTCTACGTTATTCGGCTTCCTCGACTAACGTTGAGGAGCTATGGAGGCGAGTAGAGGTGGCATGGTTGGCCATCCCTCTCGCTATATTCAGCGACTTATAGACTCCATGCCACGTCGTGTAGCGATGGTACGCGAAGCTCACGGGGGATACTCTCGCTACTGATGTTTCTCTTCCCAGCAGAGTTGTGCCGCTCTCCATGTGTAAGTAAGTTACACTAGTTTAGTACTACTTCCATACCAAATTTTATTGCGCTAGACACACGCGTTTAGATTATACAGGGTGTGCTCGTAAATTATTTCCAACAGTGTATTAGATAAGTTTAGGTTTTCAGTTTTATGTGCAGCACAGTTGTCTAAAGTTAAAACAATATGACGATGTTGGGCAATCATCTTCTGATCTAGTTTGAGTAGCCATTCTCGAAACGCTTGAGCATCTATCCACGATGACACATGATGAGTATAATCACACGGTAAATGTGATTTATCAACATTTTTAAAGCATCGTGGGTTACGCGATTTTCCTATTACCCACGCCTTGTACTTTTCAGATCCATCCGAATTACAGCATAAAACCATAGTCACCCGTTGTTTACTTTTTGCACCTCCGTGACAACGTTCTCCTTTAAAATGTAAGGTACAGTTGGGCATTAAGTTGTAAAAAATTCCGCTTTCATCCATATAAAACACATCTCGTGGGGCGTATGAATTTTTAACGGTTATAAAATTTGATAACCACAAATTTACGGAGTTTTCGTCTACTTTTGCTGACTCACCGCACATTTGTAAACCAACCATGTTGTGATGTTGTTGGAAACGCCATAGCCATCCTGAAGAACATTCAAAATTTTCAATTCCATATGTCGCGGCAATTTTCTTAGCTTTATCCCGTAATATTGGTCCTGAAAGCGCTATGTTAGAAGCTCTCATATGATTAAACCATTCCAATAATTCATATTCCACGTCTTCATAGTTTGCAGTTCTTATTCGCTTCGATTTCGTTGAAAATGAACTGCTTGCAATGGCTCCAATAATTTGTTCACGTTTCTTAATGATCGTAGAAAGAGTCGATTTAGGAATTTCGAACTTTTTTGCTATTTCTGTTTTAGTTAACTCAGATTTATCTACTTCATCCAAAATCATTTTCTTTGTTTCAATATCAATTGCGTTCTTTCTTTTTTTGTTTTGCTTTGACGACATTTTGTGTTAAGATTTAAGAACTATTCTATTGAACAATTTATAAAAGACTAAAACATGTTTAAATGTGTTCGTGAATTCGCTATCGATCGTCTTTAGTGTTCGACTGTTTTCGATCGAATTCGAATTATCCGAACGAAATTGTACGTTGGGATATAAAATCTAGTTCGCAGTTCGTATAAACGCAAATTTGTCTTAACCGAGCAAAAAGTAATACAATTTGGAAACAAATTGCTTGGGACCAATACTTTGTTCGTGATAACGAGGTGTTTGTGTTAACCGAGTTCGTCTAAACGAGGTTTTACTGTAATTAATTAAGAATAATATTTACTTTAAAAGATGTGCCACAAAACCAGGTCCGTACCAATCACCAGCCTTTTTACCGGAACTTTCCCCAAATCGGACCAACTCATGAATGGAAAATGGACTATTTCTACTTTTTTTATCACCAAACCATTTAATTATTTTCCTATGGTTCACGTTTTCTATCACAAGTTCACGCGTTAACGGTTCTAATTCAGAATTCCATCTCCAACCAAAAAATTAAGACAAATTTTTAAAACAAACACAAGCTTTAAAATTAAATGTGATAATTTTTAACGGTGTTAATAAAATAAACTTACTTCTTCCAAGAATGTGACAAATCAAAGCTTGAGCAAGCATCATTTGGCCACTCCTTAGCATACAACCCCATCCGCAATCACTACTGTAAGACGATCCATTGAGAAGAGGAAATTCCCTTCGATAAGTCATCCAAATACGACTTATAAAATCTGATTTAAAACCTTCAAAACCTTCATCTTCATTTGTTGTTAACTAAAAATTTACGCAATAATTTATATTCAATTATAACGTTATTTTAATTTAAATAATTGAGTGCAAAACAACCTAAAAAAGATTAATATCAGAATTTTCAGCATAATTACCAACATAATCAAAGTGAAAAAAATAAATTTTTAGCTATAGTATGATTTGAAGAGGTGGGGAGAAAAAGTATCATATATCATTCGATTTTGTGCCCAGGCTCTAGTACTCTACCTGCTCGTATGCAAAAAATCTATTCAGCTACCAATGGACTGGTTCAATTCATCTAACAAGTAAAATTCCAGAACATGAACGACACAAATTGTTTTGTGATAAATATTTTACATCTTACTGCAAGAACTATTAGAAAAAGGTGTTTTTGTAGCAGGAATTCGCTGCAAAAGACTTGAAAAATGTCTCCTAAAGTTTAAAAATGTCATTTCTTAATTGCACTATATAGTACTTTCCTACGAAAACGAACTCTGAGAGTAAATTTTCCATTACTTCAATCTAGCCGTTTGTAACATGATTAGAATATCACTCAGAATTGGAACGGGAAGGAGCTTTCTCATAGCCTAATTAGTACACCAAAACGAGGTAGACCATTGTACGAAAATTTGTATATTGCAGGAGTCGTGTAAAGTATACAGGATTTAGCACGCCTTAGACAAATGTAATGCTAAAAGCTCTATAATTATTTATCTGCATTGTTGTTTTAACATGTATTGAGATTAACTGATGTCGATGAAAGGGTTCTCAAAGGATTCTCCGTTCCAAGATAACCCAAAGGAAGTTGCACCCGAGATGTTATAAGCTATGTGTTAATCAATTTTGGGTTGATATGATATTAATTGTAATCAGGAAAAATTAAATACTCTCTACCAACAGTTTAGCCGAGCTAGAATTTAAACATTCAGCATGTGTCAACCAACATTCTTTACTAACAGTTTAGCACAGGTCCACAATTATTACTTCAATCCAAAACTGTTCAATACATTGAAACTCCTTGCCCGCAAGCGACCTCGGCTTAATAAAGCAAAATCATACTTTCTACCTTAAACGTTGAATTTTTTTGGAATAAGCCGAGATCGCTTGCGGGCGAGCCTCAACAATTAATATATCAACCCAACATTAGTCAATACATTGAAGTGCCTCATCTCAAAACTTGTAGTTTTCAAAAATAAGCCGAGGTCGCTTGCGGGCGAGGTTCAATAATTGATATGATATCAACCCAAAAGTGATCACTACAGTGAAGCAAAATCATACACTCTCCACCTTAAACATTGTATTTTTCGTGAAATAAGCCGAGGTCGCTTGCGGGCGAGGCGCAACAATTATTATCGTATCAACCCAAAACTGGTAAATATATTGAAGCGCCTCGTCTGCAAGGGACCTCGGCTTAATAAAGCAAAATCATACACTCTCCATCTTAAAACTTGTAGTTTTTATAAATAATCCGAGGTCACTTGCGGGCGGGGCTCAATAACACTAGTGTTCAAAGTTTTTATAATTTATATATTAGTCGGCCGTTCCGTATTTTATTCGTTATTGTTATTCAGTTGTTCTCACGAGTTGTTGTAGTTGACATCAAAAAGCGTAATAAATCGTTCCGTGTAATTTTCGTTAAAAAGTAGTTTCAATCGTGTTAATACACAAGTTCGATAGAAGCACTTCGGCTTTTATTTGCTATTCGAAGAGATACTTCTACTTATTCTACAAGAACAGTAAGATTTTTCCTTTTTGACAGTTTTTTTCTAACCTCCGCGTTTTTAAGTAACTTTCTATAAGCGTCTCAGATTTTTCCCGCGCCGGTCTCGACTATTTCTTAACATTTTTTGGTCCTTCGAGCCGGATATAACCGGAAGTGCGGAGAGAAGGCCGAAATTTTTTTGGGCGTTTTTGGTTTTTTTTCGATTTTTCATTTTCGTTATTGTGTGTTTACGTTACCATGGCGACCGCTCGTGAAATTGACTTAAACCCGATTTTCGAACGGCAAAATGACATTCACGGGTTAATTTCTCGGACAATAGATAATCTGAAAAAGCTCGCGATCGCTAAACGTACTCGCGGAAACTTTCAAAGTCGTTTAGAACGACTTGAGACTAATTGGGATGAGTTTAATAATGCTCATAAACAATTAATTCAGTATCGCGACAAGTATTCGGATACGATATATTTCACCGAGGACATTTTTTCTGAATGTGAGGAAGCTTATTTCGATGCTAAGGGGACATTGCTTGATTTGTTAAATCCTCTTCCGCTGTCTCCGACCCCGGAAGTTGATACAAAACTAGTTTCAAACGTCAATCATTATTGGCACTCTCTGCTAAATGATATTTCTCCACTGTCACTTTTACTCATAACTTTTTTTTGGTTTTTGGCTAATCTACAAACGATACCAAACTTTTCTTTGTCATGACAGTTTTCTGGAACTTTTATGGAATTAAATTTTATGTTTAATATATAGTATTATAGTATATTGTTAGTATAGTTCGGGATATGATTATTTTTCGACCATTTTTTGTATGTCTTTGGGTTGATTTCTCTGATCATACTCCAGAACCTTGATAATGTCTTTCCAATGTCATTAAATTCTTGATGGAACCACTCGCCTTGTTCGTCACTTTCCGCTCCAAGATTGTTTGGAAAAAAACTTGTAATTGTGCAATAAGTTGGAAATTATTTCGCGACAATTCTCATCCTGGTTTCCTAAAAATCCACGGACGGTTTGTTTGAATATATTGATATTTATTTATATTATTTTATTTATTTGTTTCTTTAACATTGACGGCATGAACAAGTGGAATTTATGGAACAAGTTGGTAGTGTGTTTCCATTGTGAAGTAAAGCTGTTTTAAGCCTGTTTTTAGAGCTATCGATAAAAAGATGCCATTCACTTGGTCTGTGATCTATCCTCAATTCATCAAACAGTCTGTGCGCGTTATTACAATAACAAATACCTTGCTCTTTCGTGAAAAATTGTGCAAATGTTTTACCTCTGTTTCTATAAACAGTTACACGGGTTGTAGGGTGTCCTCAGTATCAATGTTCGACTACTTCAGGTCTCTAGCTAAGCCAGTTAGTTCTTTCTGTGCCGTTTATTTTGGCATCATAGTCATTGCTAGACGACATATTTTCACTCTCCCCTTTACTCTGATCACTTTCACTGGATTGCATTAATCGGGTATTAGGATTTGGTCTTGGTAAAATTTCGCTGTGCGGCATCGGTTGTTTGGATGATCTTACATTAGGATAAACCAAACTTTTCTTTGTTTTTTTGTTTATGCCGTCTAAGTTTATATTACAGAAAAAGCAGTCGAAATGATCTGATAGGGCATCTGTGACCATAATGCCCTGGCCACGCAAAAATCGCCACAAGCGTCAAGTTGCTATCGACGTCAGCAAACTTCGCTGCTGCTTGCAGCGCTATTTCGTGGCCTTGTAGATATAGACTCATACATTTGTTTTTGACGCTCGACGCTTGCAGCGCAAAGCGAATTCGCTAGGAGCGTCGCGGCTCGTGGCACATTGGAATACCAAACTGTAAACGCGTAGATTCACCCGCCATTCATCTATTCAAAGTCCATGGCTTGTCTACATTCGTCAAAGCAAACCCAAAATAATGAGACTACGCCTGTTTTATAGCGGTTGTAATTGGTCGTCCCGTCATCCCGATAATGTATTGTCCGCAAATAAATCAGGACTGTTCTTGCATCCAAAACTTCTGCTGTTGCTAGTCATTATCAATAACATTTTTACAACACTTTGTTATTTTCTTAAACGAAAGGCCACTGAGGTGTCTCAAGAAGAACTAAATATTATGACAATATATTCTCCTTTTATACCAAAAAATATTCAAAAAAAGACTGTTTAGCAGAACAAGGTTCTAATACATAAAGAAGTAGAGTTATTAAAAAACACATTTTTCTAGCAAGTGATTGTTTTTTAACAATGAGAACTCTTTTGCAAATAAGGTCTAACAGGTAAACGCGCGAGTTCTTAAAAACTTTTTCCAAGAATGTTATGTTTGGGCGGCGACATCAAGATAAGGTGCTTCCCTGAAGATGGACGGGTCGAGGTAGTCCATTGACCTGGCCATCTCGATCGCCCGACCGCAATCCTCTTGATTTTTATTTTTGGGGTTACTTAAAAATCAGAGTGTACGTCACCGAAGTTAATACTAAGCAAGGATTGCGAAATCAGATACAATCTGCTGCTGAGACAATCCGCCACTACACTCTGGTTTAGACCGCGCTATCATAGCATCATCACCAAACTATTTCATTTGTTTAGAACTGATACCACCACACTTGTTTGACCTTCTACAAAAAATGTTTACATATATTTGAGTGGGTCGTTTGCTCACGTCCTTCTGATTGCAAGAGTTGGTAAGCTATCTTGAGATTGAGTGCTATGCAGTGATTACTGAGGAAGCTAATACTCAGCAAGGATTGAGAAATCAGAGACAAACTGTTGCCGAAACAATCTGCCAACAACCTGATTTAGCCCAATTGTGTATAGAAAATATTAGAACCAATTTCTAATACTTGCTTTGATGTCATTTTAAAATCTTATATGTATTCTTGATTTGAAAGTAAATTTCATGGATATCTAGAAAACTGAACAACTTTTGCTCCAATTTTTTCACCTATTACTCATTATTTGTCATGAGGAATAAACCCCCAAGTTTATGCATATAAGTTGAGAATCAGCCTGTATAATTCTTTTTTGATTTTCCGATTTATGCCATCAATACCTCAAAATGTTCGTCTGGATCTGTACTTTCATGTCCATATAGGTACAGAATTTCCATATTGTACACTATACAAAATAAAAAATATACTGAACATGATCTGCAGAGAATAAGTGAGGGGTTACTACGACTCCACCTCTCACATTCCAATTCGATGGCAAGAGAAGACTGGGATAAAGTAGACAGGATAGCCATGGAGAAGGCTGAACGTGAATTCCAAAGATGTCGGGATAAGCAGATTAAGAAATTAGAATCGCTGGACCGTCACACCCACAAGAGGAAAAACAACGATTTGCCAATTGAAACAGTTGTTATTAACCGATCAAGCGTCCCATTAACAGAGGAGGAAACTAAAGTAGTCGGCAAAGGCTTAAATTACGCAATCGCTCCAAAGAGGGTTCCCAAAGAAGAAATTATATGTGAAGTGGAGCGTCTATTCGCAGAATACCTGCAGTGAAAGCAGAAGAAATTCGTCAAGACATAGCGAGAGTGCTTAAAACAGCAGGACCACCAAAATCAAACTTAACAATGAACGAAAGAAGAGCACTACGAACGATAAGGGAAAACCCAGACATTATCATCCTACCAGCGGACAAGGGGAATGCGACCATGGTTATGGACAGAAAGGAATACGACGACAAGATCAAGAGTGGTTTGGACTCAGCCACCTATAAGAAAATAAAAAAGGACCCAACCGAGAAGATAGTAAGGAAAATGAAAGAACTGGTAAAATCCACAGAAATCCCAGCAGATTCACAGAAAAGCTTATTCGTACAAACTCTAGTACCACCAAGGATATATGGATTACCCAAAATCCATAAACCAGACGTCCCACTACGCCCTATTGTCAGTGCCATAAATTCTTCCATCTATCAGCTAGTAAAACACCTTTCCAAGATTCTGTCTCCTTTTACAGGTAGAACAGAGTCATATGTCAGAGACTCCACACATTTTGTAGAATTTTAGGAATCATCCGTTAAGTCGATGACACTTTCGGATCTGGCAACATGGAAAAGAGCAACTCCAGGAATTTCTAGACCACCTCAATTCACAGCACCCCATGATAAAATTTACCATAGAAACAGAAACTGCAAAACAGTTGCCATTCCTGGATGTGTTAGTCACGAGGAAGACAGATGGGGGCATGGAACTGAGATTATATCGGAAGAAGACGCATGCGAATAGATACCTGCAGGCTTCATCCCACCACCACCCACAACAGAAGAGGTCCGTGATTCAAACCTTATTCCAGCGAGCAGAGAGGATATGCGATAAAGAGAACCGAAGAAAAGAAGAAAGATTCCTAGAAGATGTGCTACAGAAGAACGGCTATACGATGGAAGATATCCGACGAGCCACCAAACCACGCAAACAGCAGGATGATTCAGTAAGTACGACACGAGCCGGTTTTATCCACCTTCCTTATGATACTTTTATGATATGGCACGGTCAGTAAAATACAGAACTCCCGCTACCCATTAAAGGGAGCGGGAGTCTACCGGCTATCGTGCAGTTGCGGGAAATATTACGTTGGCCAAACTGGACGTAAGATCGAGTGCCGCATCTCTTGGTAATGGGGCTGAACGTTCTTCCTGCTTTGAATCTCTATTGGTCAAAGGATTCTATGTTCCGTAACGACTTTATTTCTAACATTATGTGCCGGGACAGATTTCTCTTGTTAATGCGATGCATACATTTTTGCAATAACGACACTGCTGATAAAAATGATCGACTATATAAAATACGAAGTCTATTAGAAGCAGCAAATAAAAATTTCAAGCAAGTCTTAACACCAGGCAGGGTGATAGTTATTGATGAAAGCATGATTCCTTTTCAAGGCAGGCTGTGTTTTCGACAATATATTCCGGACAAAACACATCCTTACGGAATCAAATTGTACCAATTATGTACCGTGGATGGATATACGAATAATATAATTGTCTATACCGGCAAAAACGTAACATCACCAGAACTAAGCCATTCTGAACAAATAGTGCACGACCTTTTAGAATGACTTGAAGATAAACGTGGACATTATCTATATGCTGACAATTTCTACTCCATCTTGGGTTTAGCAAAGTCGCTATTCAATCATAATGTAATTTACTGTGTTTATATTTACTAGTTTACTGTTTCCATAGCAAAATGAAAAAAGGAGATATTTATGGTGCACAGAACGGTCCCCTAAGAATTATTAAGTGGATGGATAAGCGACCTGTTCTTATGCTGAGCACAGATCCAACACATACCGCAACCTGTATACCCACTGGTAAGCGGACCAGGCAAGGTGATGATATCATTAAACCAAAAGCAGTTATTCAATACAACAAAGCCAAAAAGGGGGTCGATTTGAGCGACCAAATGTCGTCATACCACTCAGTGTTACGCCGAAGTTTGAAATGGTACAGAAAGCTGGCGTTCGAGATTTTATTTGGAACGTTTGTTGTAAATTCATGGATTATACATAATAAAATTAGTTCTTCAAAACAGTCTATTACCGAGTTTAGAAGAAGACTTGCGCAAGAGTTAGTTTTTACTCACGAAACCAGGGAGAAGATACCAAAAAGAGTTTCGCACACATTTGTAAAGCCATCAGGGCCAGGGAAAAAAAGAAGAAGACAGTGTCAAGGTTGCTACAACAATCTGAGGGAAACGTATTCTAGCAGAGAAGCAAGTAATTTGGTAACTAAAGTAACAAGTTATTGTAATGATTGCCCTGGACAACCAGGAATGTGTTTATCATGTTTCAATATAAGTCACAAAAAATAACATTTTAGCTATATAAACTCTATTTAATCTTCTGGTTCCCTTTATTTATATTTTGTGACAATTTCAAAAACTTATTGAGGATTGAGTTAGACTAATGCGGTTATAAACATAGGTAGTTGTTGATATCTAGTAATTATACCTCCATTCAGATTGATTAAATGTTCAAAAATGCGCACGTTAAGCAAAAATAAACAATAACGTAATTACCAGTCCTCGAGGACCGGTACCGCACACAGTGCAATACTACAATTTTCAATTCCGCAGTCAACTGTTAAGATTCTACATTATAAAAAAAATCTCCAAGACTGTGATATTTTTTTTATAAACTAGTGTAATTGATATATCAACCCAAAACTGGTTACTACATTGAAGCTTAATAAAGCTAAACACTTTAAACATTGTATTTTTCATCAATAAGCCAAGATCACTTGCTGCCGAAGCTCTTTAGTATGTGTCAACCAAGTTAGGGTGGATATGGTATTAATTGTAACATAGTTTAGCCCAGGTTGCTTGTGGCCAGAGGCTTTTCAGTATGTGTCAACCAGGTTAGGGTGAATATGGTATTAATTGGAACGCCTTGGCAGCAAGCAACCTTGAATTACTCTGGAGAAATTTGTTTCACAGCTTCCTGAATTAATGTTATCGAAATATACAAATTAAGATGATCTAAAACATAGTTATTAGTATAAGCAGACTTAGTATAAGATCCATTTTGAATCTTGATGTAGATTAATGAAGAAATTAATTTCAGATTTATTCCTCTTTATATCAATATAATTAAAATTTTAACAATTTGCACTCAACAATTAAATTGTATTACTTACATTCCCTTGACTTTGAAAAGCAGCAACATCAGTTGCTACCTCTGTTAAGTCAGTATTTTCAAGTTTTTTGTGGTAACATCTGCCGAGGAGCCACACCGGAGATTCTTTTGAGAAATTAGTTTTTAATTTCATGCCTAAAAACAAAGAAAAATGTAATTTAAATATATATTCTTAGTTTAGCCTTCTGATGAGTCAGATATAGATTTACCATATTTAACGTTATTCCACATGGAAAGTAGTCTTGTTTTGACTTTACCCTCAACATCTAATCCTCCATCATCTTCTTCTCTACCACCTGATGAGCCAGGATTACCAAAAACGTTGGAGAGAAAGTGCCTGCTATCGTTGAAAGCCGCAGAGTGGACACTCATTGTGTACATCTTTTAAATGGATTACATAGTTGAATGATTCAAACTGTTCCCATATAAATGAACCTTCACTTTCCTAGGTTATGTTAATAATGTGAAAACTAAAAATGAACTAAATAATTCTTTGTACTGGTGTCGAATGAATCAATAAATTTTTACAATTCCAAGATAGTTAGTATCATTGGTAAATAACATTGTTGATTTTTTTTGTAAATGGATATTTGGAGATAGTGAAAGGAACTATAAAAGTCAAGTCAGATTTGGTGAAAACCGAAAAGTTACTAGAATACATTTGGGTCAGAATCGATTTTGTTTTGAAAATGAGTTTTATTTTTTCACCTACTTGTAACAAATATGTTCACTTCCTTGTTTCGATGTTATTCAATAAACCGTTTTATAAATGCGATAGCAACTAAAATAACTGACTCTCTGTAATCTAAAACCAATTTTATAATCGGTCTTGTTTACTTAATCCCGTTTGGTTTTATTATCTTAATCGCCGAATTAAGTCCAACCTGACTCAATCTTTATTTTCACACTCGTAACAATTGTTTAAACAATTATTGACGCAACAGTATATATAAAAAAAGAATTTTTCAATCTCCTTTGTGAGCCCCATCTATGGATCAAAAGATTAAAATTAAACATCATTTATTTATTTCACATCAATTTATTTAACAAAATAGTCGAAAATCACAAAAATTTGGTTTAAATTGATCGCCGCCCCAAATTGACCCCGGCAACAACATCGGATTATGGAATAATATTAGCACGTACGAACTTGTTTTGGCCTGCAATACATCCACATTCAACAGCCAAGACGAACATCGCGGCTTCTTGTCGACTTGTAAAACAAAAATCAACATCGCAATTTTCATTGCGTCTATTACGCTTTACAATACTCAAGATAGAGGTGATGTTTTTGTACATTTCATGGAGTTTGCGATGGCTTATACAATCCCACACGTTTTTCACCCTTACTGTATAAATGCGGTTATACATAACCCTATCCACAATCCTACGTTCAGCTCGACTGCGAACGCCCCATCGTCCACGGTAAACGCGTTTTCGGCTCCTATAAAATGAGAAATAAAGCGTCTTCTCAAAAAGATAGTTTAAACCCACCTTATCGCAATATTAGGACTATTCTCTTTTGAGGTTGTAGATGCCTGTCTACTAGATAGGGTGCTCAAAGTTATTGTAGATTGAGTCCCTAAACCCGAGTCATTATCACCTCTGTCAAAGTTCCTTCTATTAATCGGAGCCATAACACAAAAATTCGCAACTTTTAGATTCGATTTAGAACAAAAAACCCCTTTTTTTACCCCCTTTGCAGTCCAAGCTGTGCCAGTGTCAAAAAGCAAACATAAAATGGCGGAAACAATTGTATTACACTACGTTTAAATTGTTCTAGAAGGTTTTTTTTTAATCGCAATTTCTTTTCGAATTTAAACGATGTGTTTATTTTTGATGAATAATATTATTTTATCGTAAAATAATGAGATATTAACAATTAATTCTTTCGTTTTAAAAAAAGTTTTTAGTGAAATATTGCGTTGCGCCATCTAATACATACAATGGGAAATAAAATTTGTTTTTGGTTATCCAGTAGATGGCGCGTTTTAAAATTTTTAATTATAACATAAACCTTGTTTATAGATATACATAGTTATTTAACCGCAATATACAATATGTTTACTCGACGCCAACCTTGTTTACTTTAACAGCAAACGAGAAAATCATCATGAATGAATTGAATAAAATTGGAAATTCGACTTGTAGTATAAGTTGCATACCCATAATAAAAAATTAATTGAATTTATGTGATTTAACACGGAATATAATATACCAAATAAATCATATTTTTGGTCAAGGTACTTGTGGTCTTCTGTTGTACGTGTCATTATCGGACACCTGTATATTAATGAACTTTTTTAAGTGGGACTTTATTGTGTTAACTGAACATAACGTAAATAATGAATAATAATAAAAAAAACAACAAATTTCGCTAACTGCTTATAATTGCAAACTACAAATTACTTATGTATGTTGTAAAATAATAACTTTATTGCTTCTACCACGACTTTTAAAGTTTTGCGATACCATTTCACATTCTTTGTATATTAATGTTCTAATTAGTAAATGAAGCATGGAAATTCGATGGTCCTCACACACAGAAAAGCAGTCGGGGTACTTTTTAATAATTTTCCACTCATTGACTCTTTTATATGTTTAGCAAACGTGTTCTTACTTAATGTAATTATAGATCGTTGCATATCGCATGGATTTTTAAGTGTCGTGCGTTTAATAATAAATATATAAGTGTAATAAAATAATTTATTGCACGTTTCACAAGAAAATTTATCGACACATTTTTTTACAATGTATACCGCGAAATATACCATGTCACAATCTTCTACACATGTCTGTTGAATCTATAATTTTCAACTTTTAATTTGAAATTTCAGGTGATGATTAATTTGTCTATGAAACTTATTATAAAACATACATATGAAATAAAAGTTCTTACAAATTTGTACGCTTTGATGGTAAAGATAACCATAACAGATACTAACAGACAGGCTGCACAATTGGAAATGAGTTATGCTGATTATACGCAAGCGTTAAAGGATGTAACGAACCGTACTTGGTCAAGTCTACATAAATCAGTCGTTTGGAGCGTTTGGAGCACCGCAAGCAGTTTTATCACGTGTAAAAGAAAATGTGAATTGATAACGTGGAGGTTGTTGAAGGTTTCGCCCCCTTATAATAAGAGAAATAATCAACAAAGAAAAAATAAAGTGAGAAGTGAGAAAAAACAGATTCCCACCCTTATATTTGATGTTTATCAGTTTGGTAAGAATTTTTTTGTAAAAAAATTAACCCTTAACGCATAAGCCCGAGTTTGACTCAGGCAACTAAAAATGGCGAAATTGTGCAAGACCAAATCTCACTCGGGATAAAGTTTACAGTTATATTTACTGTATATTTTTATAACTTTTGCGCAAAAAATGTATGTATGGTTTCAAAATTTATTAAGGATTACTTATCAACAACAAAGTCAAATGATATTTTTTTACAAACTTTTGACAAAAGAAATGTACGTTAAGGGGTTAAAGTTATAAATGTGAAACTGCCATAAAAAACACGTTAAAAATAAAAAGAGAGTTCAGAAAAGTGAAAAACTTACCGAAAAATCACTTTAAAATTTTTGTTGTTAGACTCTATAGAAAAATCCCTGAAACGGGTCTAAAGATTTAAAATTTTTTCCGCCATTTTTAAACGGGTTATGACGTCATCAATATTTTTTCAAATTGCAATCACCCATTTTTATTACGGAATATTAAAGAAGATGTTTTTCTGAATCAAGTACAGTCAATATCAATATTGATTAATATTTTTTGTATAAGAAAATTTTCGAGAAAAATTACTTTAAAGTTTAATTATGTACTTCAAATTTGTATAAATGATAAAAATACCAGTAGTCATGAGTAGAGCTCAGATTTTTATGCAGTCAAATTATAAGAAATATGCGCATAAATATGCAAGCTTTTTATCCGAAATATGCAAAAAATATGTGGAAATACGTAAAAATATACCTTTCTTATAGTTGTAATCGATCTATTTCTATCACATTTTTGTATATGTTTTGCAATTTTCACATGTTGTTCTAGTTGGGACTTCCTCTCACACGTTTGTTAAAAAAGAATAATTAAAAAAGTTAGCCATAGACACTCAACAGATTAAAAATTTAAATCTGAGACTATAGAACAGATTCGTAACTATTTTTCATTATCGATCATATGTAAAAACATATCCTAAGAAAATGGGACATCAAATTTAATATAGTTTTAATTTAACAGTTTTCCATTTTTTTTTAACTCGTGTTAAAACTAGTGTAAAAGTCTATGAGAAATACAATTTCGTTGTCATCAAACCATTGGTAACTTCGCTGAAAACTCTAATTTTTAACTTAAATCTTTCGCTAAAACGTTACGACATAATTTTTAAAAAATTACTTACAACTTTGGCACAAGCTTTACAAAATAATTCCTCATTATTTAAATTTAGTTCGGGATAACATTTTATCCACTGGGTTACAGATTGGTAGATTAATGTTCACTCACACTGAACACAGCCACAGTAACTATGGTTGGGGATTTCCTTAAACTAAAACTCAACAGCGCTAGGGATTCCCCGCATGTTTCTGTGAAATTTTGTCAACATATATCCTGTATTGTGCTTGAAACTAAAAGGTATGTTCGTATATTTACAAATATCGCAGTCTCGCAGTCATTATATTTATTTTATTAAGCACCAAGAAACAAATCTAGTAAAATGACAAAATATGCGAAAATATGCTGTAAAAGGCCAATTTATGCAATAGTTAACTACTAGTTAATTACTAGTTAATTACCATAGTTAACCACTCCTGATGGCTACTGCTATTTTTAACATTTATACAAATTTGAAAAAAAAGTTTAAGTAATTTTTCTTGAAAATTTTCTTAAGTAATCAATATTAATATTTATCAAAATAGTAAATAAATAACTAAAACTTCTTTTCTTGCAATTAATTTCTTTATTTTAACGGGACCGGTTTCGACTAGTTATATACAGGGTGATTCACATAAGAACCGACACAGAGCAGGGACATGTAGAGGACAATAAATTAAGATGATTTAACGCAATTTATCTCTATACTAAGTTGTACCCCTGAGGAGTTATAGGCCTTCAAAGTTGGGTCTTAAATTTTTAAATCATTGAATATCTT